CAGCATCAGCATCAGCATCAGCATCAGCATCAGCAGCAGCAGCAGCATCATCATCATCATCATCATCATCATCATCATCATCATCATCATCACTTACCCCCACCCAGTACAGCGCTTCGTGGCCCCATAGGGAGCTCGACCGAAGGCCCCAGTGGCACCGCCCGCAGGCGTCACCCCCACACAATGCAGCGCTTCGTGGTCGCGTGCGCCGCCCCCACCCAGTACGGCGCTCCGTGGCCCCACAGGGGGAGCTCCACCGACGGATGGCTTGGTGGGGGTCGGCTTCGGAGGTCGCCACCTGTCGGATGTCCGGGCCTCGCTCGGGCGGGCGGCCCGTCGGAGGCAGGGGTGCTACTAGGGGAGGAGGGGCGGCGAATGGAGGAGAAGGGGGTGGGGGCAGGAGGCGGGAGGGGGGAGGCGGGAGGCGGGAGAAGGGAGGAGGGCAAAGGGAGGGGGGAGAAGGGAGGGAGGGGAGGGAGGAGAGGGAGGGAGGGAGGGAGGGAGCAGGGCAGAGGGAGGGAGGGAGGGAGGGAGGGAGGAGAACAAACTCGATGGTCGGTGGCGGCAGGGCTCGGACGTCTCGCCACCTGGAGGCCGCATGCCGTGCGGGCCGCTGTCGGCCTGCCCGGTTCGCCGCCCCCCCCCCGCCGCCGGGCCCCGCAGAGGACGCTCTCCCCGCTGGAGAGGCGGCTGCCGCGGCGGTGCGTCGCGCGCGGGGCCCAGACCTCGCGTCGCGAAAAAGGCACGGCGGGAGGTTCGGATGCAACTCCTGGGAGGTCAAATTCTGATTTTGCGCTGGTCCGACATCTGGCTTGATCCGGCTTGATCCCACCTAATCCCGCTTACTCCCGCTCAATCCGGCGCAATCCCGCTTAATCCGAGGCCCGTGCTGGCGTAACAGACCCCCAACGGGGCTCAATCATGTTTAATCCCTCCGGCGGAAGACTCCCAGTAGTGGCCTCCTGAGGGAGGCTTTTCGCTGTTTTCGGCCTCTGGGGGCCCTCGCCGGGCCCCGGGACCGTTAACGAAACGATGCAGGAGGAAGAGCCGGTCCCAGAGAATGGGTCGAAACCTCTGGGGGTCGACGTTGCGACAAAATCACGACGACGTTGCGACAAAATCACGACGTCGGGGGTCTGGGGGGGTTGGCGTCCAGCAGGTGGAGGAAGGGGGAGGGAGGAGTTCTGCTCGATGCTATTCTACGTCTGATCGTGGTGACCAGCAGCATGGCAGGGCACACAGGAGGAGGGAGGAGGAGGAGGAGGAGGAGGAGGAGGAGGAGGAGGAGGGCCAGTGTAAACCCAAGACGCATCCACGATGTTGCAACACACCCTCTCTCCAAGCTCCCTGAGAATTTCGCTCATTGCAGGAACTGGCCCATCAAGGACAACTGTCTGTGACCCCTTGGACTTCAACGCCGCGAATCAGCACGGCTGCTGCGTTCTGATCGTGCTAGAACGCCATTACGGGGAGTTCCATACCGCGAATCCACATTACTTTTGCGTGCGTCCTGACTCTCCCATCGCACCAGAGCGCCATTCCTGGGACTTTGTTCGCGCGAGTCCTTGACACTGTAGCGAACTTAAAAAAACTGACTGTGCGCGGCGCTGAGGCGAGAGCCACACTATGAGAAGGATCCGCCCTCCATCCTTGAAGCTGCTGCAAACTTTCAAGACGAGTGTGCGCGGCGCTAAGGCGAGGGCCACTGTTCTTTTTTATCCTCGCTGATCGTGGGCGTGACCGGGGAGGGGGGGGGAAGCGGGGGGAGGGGGCGGGTCACGTCACGATTCACGCTGGCGCTGTCCAGGAGTGTTTACGAACTGTTGATTCTCAGACTGCACCAGCGCGAATCGCGACGTGAACTGAGTGGTGACGGGGGGGAGGGCGGGGCCAGTCACTGGCGTTATCGCGACTGGTTGAAGCATGGCCTTCAGGTTGGAGGGAGAAGTCTACCTGCTTCTAGAAGTCCAACATCACGGTTCTGTGCCACATACCGCTCTCACTTTCTAGCCACAGGCGTCTATAGACCCATTGGATATCGTTGCGTATATCGACAGAGTTGGGATGGATCCGTTCATCGACAGCGCGGCTGTTGCGATCGGCGCAGTACAAGGTTGGATACAGGGTAGATCAGTCTACGGTATGTTCCTGTTCTAGAGCAGGTCCCACATGGGGCGTTCCAAAAAGGTCTTTGCCTTCGAGGATCGAAGGATGTGTTACCTCTCCCGCGGCGCAAGGCGGCGGAAGGGCGGGAAGGGCGGGGGAAGGCCGCCGCCGCCGGCGGAAGCTCGGCGGAAGCTCGGCGGAAGTTGGCGGAAGTGAGGGATGCGCCCCCAGGAGATGAACACGTTTTTTTTTGTTGTTGTTTTTTTTGTCCAGGGCCTCCGAACGCGCCCACCTGGTACTCCAAGCTCCAGGGCTCACTTCTGCCTCGCTCCGCCCATCCCGCCAGCGCGGGAGGCCGCGCGCGGCGCGCGGCGCGCGCGCGCACTCTGTCGTG